TTTCACCTGGATCTCTGCTCTTTTTCACCGTCATATCCCTCTCTTGTCGCACAACTCACCCCCACTTTGTTTCGCAAGTCAGTTCGGCCAATATTCCATTCTGTGTTTTTTTTGTGCTGGAAGATATCTGAATAAAGTTCTGTATACCGTTATGGCAACTGTACTTTTTTAATAAAGGAACCCAATATTTTACAGGTTCAAAGAGACACAAAATCTTGTTTTTATTCATTCCACTGGTAGTCTGTTTTGATAAAATAGAAATAAAATAGCCTGCCTCTAATTCTGGTCTCCTTCCAATAATGGCCTGGACCAAGATCTACCTGAGTGAAAAAGGTTCTACCTGAGGCCCCATCCTATATTAGAGGATTTACGGTAGTTTACTTTTTTGACAAAATCTAAAAATTGAAGTCAATGCAGTTGATTTATTAGTAAGTCGTATCAAGATTGTTTTTTTTTTTATTATTCTGACCTATCATGCATCTTGCATCATTATATTTGTTTGAACTTAATACCATGATTTGAACCGAATAATGTATTATAACTAAGAAACCATACTCACCTAGTCTAATAAGCACACATTTGTAATTTCATTTTGCTCATACACTATTTAGTTAAAATAGTAGGCTACTTGTTTAAATTTTTTGGAACCAAAAGTCTTTATTCACACTGCATGAATATGACACTGCATTCAGTTCAAACTCATTTATCTTCAACTGCCTATGACAGATCGAGAAGACATGCTCGAAATGCTCAACCATCTGATGAAACAAATATTTACTTGAAGGTGACAAAAAAAACATGCATATTACTTTTTTTTTTAAATCTCAGATCTGATTTCTCAGATCCATAGAGATGCTCTGAATAGAGTATAAATCAAAGCCATGCTTCATGACCAGACTGCTGAGCAGCATCTCAGCCAGAACAGATAAGGGATGTAAATAGGGCTATACTAAAATATAAGGAGAATTAAATTTAAAGAAAAGTAAAACAAAACAAACAAACAAAAAAAAAAACAACAACAACAAAGCAATAACGCCTGTGGGATAGTTTATAGGTGCTGAATGAAGCTGAAGTTAAATGTTGTTTTTTTATCATAAAGAGGAGAGAGTGATAAGCTGCACTTACCTGCGCTGTAGCTCTTTGTGAGTCTCAAAGAGTATCACTACTTAAACTATATTAGTTTTCTGAAATTTTCCATTTTCCCTTACTATTAACAGATTTAATTAAGGGCTTTAAAAGGCTCTCAACTATGGGCAAATTAATTTGCAGACTTGCTGATGGTAAAAACAATTACATATGCTTTGGCTTAAGTCTTTTTGGTATGATCCAAATATAACACCACTCCCTATTTCATATTTATGAACTGGAATTTCAAATAAAAACATGTCATTATTAGATGATCAAAGCTGGGTTTGTAACAACTTCATTTTCTAGCTTCGCATAAAATGGGCCCCAGCAGGAAGATTACTAATTATTTCCAAAGCCATTAATCCAACTGCATGTCAATTTACAGCACCAGAGTCTTCTGCTAAAGATCCAATTTCATTCATGTCAATAAAACTAAATTTCAACTTTTCTTTGCGTGAGTCTCTCCTGGTTGAATTAAAGATCATCATCAAAGCACTGCTAGTGATATCAACGAGAGTTTCCTGACCTCATTCCATGTATTTTCTCTCCCAATCTCTAATTAACTGCAAAAAAATACTAAAGTCCCCCCGTCACATTACCAGTAAGCTGTTCACATAGATGGTAGAAAAGTAAAAAAAAAAAAAAAAAAACAGTCAACCAATGTTCTCTTTCAAGAGAGGGTCCAGGGTTTCCTTTGTGGTCAGTAACAGATTATATTTCTGTATTTTTTTAAGACACCCTGCTTCTAAGAATTTCATTGATGAGTCAAATTATTTCAAACATAATAGTTTAGGATGAACACTAACTTGTTTCTCTATCCAAAGGCATAGTTCTTCAGTATAGATATGCAACACAACAAATCTGATAATGTAATGAGCTGGCTATTCAATATAGTTCTTGAAAAAATATGAAATTCTGTTTATTTATATGGTATTAATTCAAACATTCTCTTTAGACCCTTAAAAAAAAGTCACTCTAAGTTAATTTCTATTTCAAATTGATCCTAGTTTTCAAACACTTTTCAATTTAAGGAAACGGCAGATTGCATGGATTCATTACAGCAATCCTGCATTATGAGCATGTATGTAGTGACTAAACACAACTTTGCTTTAACAGAAAGGAGAGGAGAAATAAAAATCATATTTCTATAGTCACAACGTTTTTGTTGTTCTTAAATCATGATCGTATTTCATTATAAACAAGATGCAAACAACTATTTGTAAGGGGAAGATGATGAACATGAATATGAATGCAAAAAGGAGACAAGGAGACATATTGATTTTTGGTTCACTTCTTTTCCATTTTTAAAACTCATAAATAATAACATACCAAACATGAGCATATATTTACACAAACAATGTTACAATTGTACAAATCCTGTCTTTAACTCTTACATTGTGAATTTTGTGTGATTTTATTCATGCAAACAGGTTTTAAACAGCTTTAAAAAAC